GACACACAGTTTGTGGTTCTATGTTAAGGCAGTCCTTGGAAGTGAGCCCCCCCGACCCCCAGGAGCGGGCTTTCAGAAGGAAGCTGAGTCTCTGAACTTGATGTGATGTTAGCATTGTCCAGTGGCCAGGGGTTGATTACCACCATGGCTGAGTTGTAAGCACCAATTTTGCATTTATTTCCTCACTTTGAAACTGTGCATAAGAGACCAAAAAAGAGAAAAGGAGAGCCAGCCCGCAGGGGTCTGCTCCACTTTCCCAATAGAAGAGAATCGGCAAGGAGGGCTGAGGAGTCAGCCTGGAGGATGGTACCCAAGGTCAGATGCACAGCTCCTCTCCATACCCCAGGGGCCCCAGGATGCAGGACCAGAGGGAGGGATGGAAAAGCCTGGAAGAGCAGAAAACTAGATCCCACTGTGGAGTGTCTCAGCCATCTCTGATGAAGGGTTCATAAAGGACCCTGAATTACAACTCTGCCTGTAGGTGGATTTTTCTTTGTCCTGCCAGCCAGCTCCCAAATAAACAATGTGGAGACTTCTTACTTGGCCAATAGCTTAGGCTTGTTCCTGACTCGTTCTTATAACTTAAATTAGCCAATATTTTTTATTCATCTACATTACCACATGGCTTTTACCTCTATCCCATTTTGTGTGCCCAACTCATTCCATGTCTGTCTGGCTTCTCTGCCCTTCTTCTTCCCAGAGTCCTCTCTGCGCCAAAAATCCTGCCTAGCTATTGACCAGTTAGCCTCTTATTAAACCAATCACAGTGACACATATTCCCATTGTCAAAAAGATTATTCCACAGCATCTGTCCCCCGCCGGGCCTCTGAATGAAGGCACTTTGCAGGGAATATGGATCACTGTTACACTTCCTCCATGCTATTACAACAAGGCTATTTACCCTGTTGAGGTGGGGAAGACAATCTCCCCATCTCCATGGAGACTGCAAGGTGAAGCCATTGCTACTCTGCTGTTGCCAATGGTTGACTCAGAAAGCTCACACAGACGAAGGAGAAGGAGAAGAAGAAGAAGAAGAAGCAGAAGAAGAAGAAGAAGAAGAAGAAGAAGAAGAAGAAGAAGAAGAAGAAGAAGAAGAAGAAGAAGAAGAAGAAGAAGTCTCTGCAATTTAGACAGGAGGTAATGGTGACTTTGACTGGATGGATCCAAATCTTAGGATTCAAAATCCAGGAGAAAAATGATGACCGGTGAGACAAAGGTAAGCCTTGAGCAGGAGAAAAACAAACAGACAGACAGACAGACAGAGACCAAACTAACTGGTACTTCTAAAGAGACTGACTATACAGACAACAGGCAGACCCTTTGTGGAAAGGGACACAGATGGACTCCTGCACCACATGCCCAGGAAACCAGCCCATTGTCATTAGCTCCAGCTCCAGGAGCCAGCCTGCTGTGAGGTAGACCAGTACACCGACTCCTCCAACGGCGGGCCCCAAGCATCGAGGACTTGTGGGTAACCCACAGCAGCTTCCTGCTTACAATTGAGTATGGATTCAAGAAAGCCCAATGTGCTCCCCTAACGCCTCACCGTGGATGTCCCACTTTTACCAGCCGGCTTGCAGTTTCCCTACGCCAACAGCCTCCAGCTGGGCCTTCCCTCTGCACAGCCATGCCTGCCTTGGAGTCTTTCCCAGGACAGGCCAATCCTCTCAGTACAGCCAACTCTGCATTTGCTTGTTCTCATCACTGTAGTCTTTCTTTGTTTTCATGTTTCCCTCCTGTGTGTGTGTGTGTGTGTGTGTGTGTGTGTGTGTGTGTGGTGTATGAATATATGGTGCACGTGTGAGTACATGCATGTGTGTATGTATGTACTTGTGCGGACACATGGAGTCCAGAGGAAGAACAATGGATGTTCTGCACTCTTACTCTCCATCTTATTTCCTTAACACAGGATCTGTCACTGAACACGTGTGTAGACTGTCCACCCAGAACTGTCCACCAGGTCTGCCTCCGCCTTCCATAGTATTGGGGTTACCAGTGCGCATAGCCACACCCAGCTTTTGACATAGGGTCTGGGGGGTCCAAACTCGGGTCCTCATGCCTATGCAGCAGGTGTTCACACCCACTGAGCCATCTTCCCAGCTTCCCCCTTTTCCTTTTCGATGCTTCCTGCCCTGTGATGGGTGTGGTCACTGGTGACGTCACATGTGACGTCGCACGCGGTGGGCCTCTCAAGGCTGCCAACTGCACGAGCTGAGTCTTTCCTGTTCCGCCCTCCCTCTGCATCCCCCTGCCCACTCCTCTTCTTGGCCGGCCCCCTCCTTTCTCTCCTTGCCTCTTTTATTCCCCCCTCCCTCATCACTCCATCAAAGGCCGAAAGGACTGGATGGCGCTACGTGGATGCGGTGGAGTGCCAACATCGTTGTATTGAGAGATACTGGGGAGAACGGTAAAAGCATAATTCTGGGTGTGTCCGTGAGGGTGGACCCAGAGTTGACTGGCATGTGGAACAGCCATTTCTACTCTTCTTGAGTGCGTCTATTGCTTCTGTCATGGCCCGAGGACAGTCACATCAGTGCTTCTCCTAGGCATCACTCTGAGCCTGCGTCCTTGGTGACGTCCGTTCTGAGGCTCTCAGCTTCCCGGGGTGAGCAGCTACTGCGTGCTCTGGCTCCAGCATGCAGGTGGCCATTGTTCACTCTCCAGCCTGCAACCCTGAAGGCTAATCTAATAATCTTTTTTGGTTATTATGCACATGTTCTTTGTCCTGTTCCTCTAGAGAGCCCTGACTAGTACAGTTGCTGCCCTCGTGACAGTCCCTCCGGATAACAGAGGTGGGGGCGGGGGGCGTGAGAGCACAGAGCCACAGGCTCTCCTGTGACTGGCGAGCCAACGGCTTGAGGCTTGGTCTGGGTGACCGAATTGGCCTTTGGTCTCTCTGGTGTCTTTGGCGGTGTGGACATTGATTTCAGTTTGCAAGTGTCACTTATGACTAATGTGGCTCTGCTGATGAACACGCTTTGAAGAGGAAAACAAACAGGGCGATTGACTTGTTACTGAAAATTAATTAAAACTGGATTCTAGCGGAGAAAAAGGGAAGCGAGGTGCCAGCATAATTTAGAGGCACGGTGAAGGTAAGCCACAGAGCACTCGATTTTACAGCACCTTCAATCAGCATCATAGAGGAGAATAAACATGTCCTTGTTAGTAATATTTAATCTGGAGCTGACTCGGGCTTCCAGCCTTGGCAAAGTCAGATTCTCCCAAATTCCCACGATTCCTGCAAAAGATCCAACCCCAATCAGACTTCATACTCTGCCAGAGGTTTAAACAGAATCAGGCTTTACACTCTGCCAGGGTTACAGACAGAATCAGGCTTTACGCTCTGCCAGGGGTTCAGCTTTCTGCCCTTTTCCAATGGCTCAGCAGGTACAGAGCTTGCCATGCAATTATGAAGACCAGGGTTCGGATATCCAGAACCCACAAACAAAAGCTGGATGTGAAGTCAGGCATGGTGGCGCACGCCTTTAGTCCTAGCACTTGAGAGGCAGAGGCAGGCACATCTCTGTGAATTTGAGGCCAGCCGGGGCTGCATAGTGAGACCATAGTGAGACCCTAACTAAAAAAAAAAAAAAAAAAAAAAAAAAGCTGGAACAGTAGTACTATGTATGTGTAAACTCAGTGTGATTACAGCAAGCTATGAGACAGAGACCACAGAACGCCCCATAGCACCCAGGACAGTTAGCCTGGTGTACACAGTGGTGAACAAGAGACCGTACCTCAAAATAAGATAGAAGGCAAGGACTGACATCCAAGACTGTCCTCTGACCTCCCCGTGTTGACCATGGCACATGTGCATACTCACACACATACACGCTGCACACACACACACACACACACACACACACACACACACACACACACACACCATACACTCACACAGTATTTTTTTCAAAGATGATCGCAGAGCCCCATTGTTCGTCTGTGGAGCTCAGGCCCCTCCCTGCCTGGAATGTCAATACAGGTTAGTTTTGCTCAACTTTGTCCTCAAAAAAAAAAAAAAAAAAAGTGCTCTCTGGGAAAGCTGAACCAGGAAGTCGTCTGAAACAAGATAAACATTTCTAATTTGGGCCTGTCCTCTTTAGGTGATCTTCTAGAAGTCTCCAAGGCCCTTGATAAATTACTTCTCTGATGGTAAGGGAGATAGAGAGAAACTGTCGAGAGGAGAGGAGTTTGAAAATGCATTGGTTGGCGATGGCCGAAGTTCCCAGCCTTCCCCAGTGAGGGCCTGGCTCCTTTCATCCTGTCCTCTGGGGATGCATCTTGGCTGGCATTTGAACAGGCATGCCCTCCTGTGAGATGCATGGGGCGTCTTGAGTCAGATGGCTCAGGGTTCGATTCCTGAGTCACTGAACCTTGGTGGGTCCCTTCATCGCAAGGTGAGGATAACAATACCATCAACTTCACGAGTTTATCAAGTGGCAAACTGATAACGGTCATCCGAGGAACTTTGAATCAGGACCCCCTCGCTAAATTAAAGATGCTTCTCATTGTATCTCATGCAAATCTAGGCTTCATTCTCAGGCTTCAGGAAACAGGATTGTCTATTTTATTTACTTAAAGTATTACGTTTATGTCTTCATGTGGAGGCATCAGGGGTACTCACGCCACAGTAGGCATGTGGAGGAGTTGGTTCTCTCTTTCCATTGTGTAGATCCTGGAGATTGAACTTAGGCCGTCAGTCTCAGTGGCGGGGGCTTTTACCTGCTGAGCTATCTCACTGGTCCTATTTTATTTATTTTTTTTTTATCGAACCAGCCAAGCAAACAATTTGAGGCCCACGGTGTGTGCCTGTTTCACATTCTGAATTGCCTTCTCTGGCGCTGAAGGAAAACAGCAACTCTCAGGCAGGGGCCAGAGACAGCTCCGTACTGTTACCTGCAGAAGTTTTGGGAGTTCTTTTTGAAGAGCCCCCCCCTACACAGGTAAAGCTGGCATGCTTGACTTTAGTACAGAAAAGATTTTCAGGGCAAAAGCTGGGATAGAGCAGAGTTAGAGTTTATTAAAAAGAAATTAAACATAGGTTTGAGTGCGGGCTAATTAAAGAGACACTTAACAAAGCAGAGTGCATACCCAGAGTGTGGGCGAGCTCTCTGGGAATGTGACCTCAGAGTTCACGTGCCGGGCAAGAGGATGTCAGCTGTAGGAAGAGTGTTCACTTCTTGGGGTAAATTTCACCCAGCTGTCTTTCTTTCCAAACCGCATCTCTGCACAGAAGTTTTGCTTAAAGTGACCGAGACCCTTAAACACACATACATCACCAGTCCTTAGAGTTATGCCTCAGACAAGGAACCAACCTCTGGGTGGTGGGACTCTCAAGTTGGGCACTTTCCGAAGCTTTCCAGATGATTCTAGAAAGAAGCCATGATAGAGGAGCCATGGTTACGTGTTGGAATCTCCACTTTATCTGGATGACCTCATCTCTCCTCTTAAAGAAAAGCAGCAGATACTTGGATCCCTGGCAATGGCCAGCCTGAGCCCTAGAAATTTTCCCAGCCTATCCCACCGTGCTAGCCCTGGCTGCAGACCGCAGAGGGTGTTTAGGATGAGGTGTGCAGAGCAAGGTAGAAGTCACAGGTTGGATAAAGGCATCTGTGGTTCTAGGAATGCAACACCCTGGAACCAGTGGGTCCCAGCCCACCTCTTTCCGCATGGAGGAGTTGCAGCAATCGGGGTTCAGAGAATGGGGGCGCGTGGCGGTGGGGGTTCAGAGAGTACAAGGTCTCAGAGCAGGGACCCCGGTGCTCAACAGCCTGTGTTAAAAACGCAGCATCTTCCGAGTAAGCTTTTCTGCGAACTTGAGCAAGCCGATTAACATCACTAGCTTTCTTTTATCGTTTATGAACTGAAGAAAGCAATTTATGGTTTGGAAAACCAAAAATTCAGTCGTCCCCTCCCTGCACCCCCCCCCCCCCACCCTCCTCTCTTTTCTTTTCTCCCCTCTCCTCTTGTGGCTTGAATCCAGGGCCTTCCACATGCTGGGCAATTGCTCAGTTAGTCAGCTATACTTACTTCTGCATTGGTGACAGCCAGGGTCAGGAACAGAAAGAAAACGCTGCACAGGCCGGCCTGACCATGTGACAACATGGTCACGGAGAACTCGTGTGTGTTTAAGTAACAATACTGTCACCTTCCCTTGCAATCTGGCCCTGAAAAGCCGCAGAATTTTAGCAAGGTCTTAGGTAACCATGACCTGGCCGACGTCAGGCCAGGTTTCCCATCCTCCAGGCTTGAAAAAATACTATCGGTGATGTTTCTTTTCTTGCTGGTACCCAAGTGACCCCATCGAGCCTCAGATTTCTTCCTCATGGAAGGAGCATCTTCCTTGATCTTCCGGCTGTGCTTGAGTCCAGCTTTCCAGTCCTTCCAGCCCCAGGAGATCACTTGCCACACCACTCACTTGGCTAGTATGGCTATCTGTGTTGAATAGGTTGTTAGCTTTGGTTACAAGCCATCTTGTCTTTTGGGCCTAGGTGACTGTGGGCTGTGGGAGTTCCTCTTCCTGGCCACAGATGGGGTCCTCCCCCTATGGGTCCAGCGTGGGAGAGGGGTGGAGGGGTGGGTCTTGGCTGAGGGCTCCCGGCGGTGCAGCTGCTGGTCAGCTTGGCTCAGGGGCCAGCCTGCGTCACCGAGCTGGATCGGAGTAATGCTAATAAAGTTGAGCTGTCGCTTCCCACAGCGTGTCGCATCTGTCTTCATTGAAGCATGCTCCCGGTAATTTCATTGTGGGGTTTTCCATTAAAAAGTTTGATTAATTCCATAAATATTAAAATAAGACAGATAATTAGAATCCAGGTACTCATTGTTACACAAAAGTGGTAGAGTCTGCAGCAAATTATTATTAATAATAATAAGCACCCACACAGCGCTGATAATAACGGCACAGAAAGAAAAAAAAAAGTGATTCACAGTCATTGTTATTAATATCGTCCTCCTCGGGACAGTGCGGGCCGGTTAGCCGCGGCTCTCCCTGTGTTCAGGAATCAAGATGGAAGCCGAGCCAGGCGAATTGATCTGCTAAGACAAGCCGGTCCTGCAGAAAGGGAAGCGAGGTGGCAAGTCTGTGCTTAGTTTGAGCTTTGACCCTCGGCAACTTAATCAGCTCTCTCAGCTCCTGGTCTCTGGAGATGACTTCTTCCCTTCTCTCCTGACCGATTTCCTTCTCTGTGCAGAAGATGCCTGCAAGCTTCCACTCCCCCCGCACCCCATGACGAGAAAGATGGGGGAAAGAGACGAGAGACCCAGTCCCCCGGGTGCTCGCTCGAGAGCGGAGCTGAATAATAGGTGTCTCCAAGCCCGCATATAAATCATGTAGACAAGTTTAAACTATGAATCATTAAGGTAGAGGGAGAGCACACAGAATCAATAAACAGCAAAGCAAGGGGAAAACGCTCGCTGCACTTAAGCGGAAGCACCGACGCTGTTGCGTTCGGTCATGGTTGTAATTGTCTCACTAATCACTTTATGGTGGATTCCCTAAGTGGGCGCCCTGGAGAATGAAAAACGCCCTGTTCTTATTTTTAATCAGAGGAACAAGTCAACTATATAGAACACCTTTTCTGTTTTCTTAAAAAAAAAAATGCACTTGCTATTAAAAAAAAAAAAAAATCCCAAACTAAATCACCTTCTCAGCACCCGAGTGAAGTGCTAAGACTCAGTGTGTGTGTGTGTGTGTGTGTGTGTGTGTGTGTGTGTGTGTGTGTGTGTGTGTGTGTGGCCCTTGGATGGAATATTGCTAACTTATCGTCTGGACATGTTGCCAAAATCAGATCCCATGAAGACCATGAAGGATTCTGCCTTGGGTTTTTAAAACTTCTAATAACCTTCCCTTACGTAAGAGTTTGTCTTCTGTGCCTTTGGTTTTGGATAACCATAATGTGAAAATATTACATAGAAAATTCCAGAAAGAGATAATTAATAAGCTTTATATAACTTTGTCACAGTAGTATAAGTGTTCTATTGTTATTGTAGCTCTCTTATTGGGTCTAATTTAGAAATTAAACTTTATCATAGCCATATAATATAAAGAGAAACCTGCCGGGCAGTGGTGGTGCAGGCCTTTAATCCCAGCACTTGGGAGGCAGAGGCAGGCGGATCTCTGTGAGTTCAAATCCAGCCTGGGCTACAAAGTGAGTTCCAGGATGGCCAGGGCTACACAGAGAAACCCTGTCTTGAAAAACCAAAAAAATATGTGTTTGTGTGTATATATGTGTATGTATGTATATGTATGTATGTATGTATGTATGCATATATGTATGTATAAAGGGAAACCCACCAAATTTATAGGGCTTGGTTATACTCAGGGTTTCAGGCAGTCAACGAAAGTCTTAGGATGTATCTGGATAACAAGGGGGAATTTCCGTATTGAATTGAAACTATAATTATTTGCATTACTGGGTCTTTTGGTAGGTCTTTAAATTCTGAACTGTAATCTAGGCTCTGCACAGAGTCACAGGACTAAGTAGAGTCCTAATGGGGGCAGGGAGGGCTTCACTGCCTGATGCAAAGGAGGAGGGAAGCAGGGGGGAAATTTCACAGGGGATCTGAGCAACCCCTGTGTGCAGGGACATTTCCTGATGTAGGAAGGTGTATGTCTACTCAGAGGCCATCATCAGTGAGGAGCTGAACTTACTTGAGCCCTGACAGAAGATGAATGAGTTGCGAAGGTTCAATGGGGTTGAAGAACACACTGGAAACATTGGGAATTTAGCAAGAAGAACAGTGGACCTGAGCAGACCACTGCTCTGGAGGCCCGGAGATAGAGTGCAGCGGATGTCCTTATCTGCTTTCTGTCCACAGAAGAGCCTGCCTCCAGAAGAGATGGGAGCCATCTTAAGAGGGGATGGAGTCCCAAGACAGGAGAGGGGTTGGGAAGAAAGCCCCTCACCATTCTAAATACGTTCTTGCTTCCTGTGGATACTTGATCCTGGGGACCGGGGCCACAGCTCAGAACCCCAGCAGAATCCTCCAGGGGTTCAGTTGCTGGAAGGCTGTGAGGAACTTTGCGGACTTGAGATGGGTTCTCTCAAGTCACACCAACAAGAGGAAAGCGGGACACTAGCAAACACTGTGAAGCCTTCAGAGGTTTGGGATGAACTGGAGGGATTCTGGGATTGAGAGAGGCTGCCGTGGGGTCACCAGAGACAGTTCAGGTTAAACAACCCTGTACATTGGGAGATGATTGTGCTGGAAAATGAGGGGAGCCTGGTGGAGGTGGGGGTTCTGTTTTGGGTGTGCCCCACCACAGTTTAAACACAAATGAATGGCTCCTTAAAACAGGTAGGTGTAAAGGGGAGAATGGTTGATGGGGATGGTGGCTGGTGCAGGTGGTTATGGGCAGAGGATAACATAGACATTTGTGGACGAGGGATTAAATGCACTCTGTTCCATTCCCGTTTTTCTATTTCCATTCTCCTGGGCCCGCTACATATGAGAGGTTAAGAGTCAAAGGCATGTTTGGAGTTAACTAAAAGAGATGTTTTTAGTCATTGACACTGTCTATCGCTGGTTGAGGGGACTATGTGAGACTGAGAATTTCTTGTCTTTGGGGGCATCCAAACAGGGGCTTCGTGCAGCGCCTGGCCCAGAGGTGAGTGTGGAACAAATGTTATGAATTTCAGCCACCACTAGGGGGAGTGCTGGCCCAGTTTCTGCCTCTGGGTCCAGGGGATAAAGGCTTTGGGCTCCAGAAAATACACACACACACACACACACACACACACACACACACACACACACACACACACACACACACACACACACACACACACACACACACACACACACACACACACACACACACACACACACACACACACACACACACACACACGCAACGGTGATAGGAATACATGTGGTGGGATCCCAGGGGAGCCAAAGCATTCGCAGAGCCAGCTGGCACTAACTGAGGGATTGATGATGAAGGCATCTCCAGGAAGAGCCAGTAGCCTGGCAGAGACAGCCTGGTCTCCACATAGGTGACTTCCGGTCCAGTCTGACCTTTCACAGCCGCGTGCCCCACTCCTGTGTGAGCAGGGTGCTTACAGAGCACTCCCGGAGCAAGCCTTGGAACGGTTTTTGGTGTCTAGATTGGATGCGAAATACGTGGTTCCTGTTAAAGGCCTTTGTACCACGATATGAATTTTTCAAGCTTACAGCAGAAAGGCACTTGGGTATCTAGTAGGCGATGCCAAATGTTGGAACTGGGAGCTATTGTCCCCACACTGAGCCCTCCAGTCATTTGCCTCTCTCTCTCAGCCCCACACCTATTCTCCCTGTTCTCGCCTCTGCGCTCCTGGCCTGGGACTCGGGACAATTGCCTCTCTCCTCTGCCAGTCGACTTTAGTGCGCCAATAGGGAGCCTCCGAAGCCAGGGGAAGGAGAAGAATGGGAGAGGGGAACGTCCTGCTTGCTTACTCTTTCCCGTCACTGTCACAGCTCCAAGGGCGCCCTTTTGGGTTGTCCTGGTGGCAAGCAGCGGTTCGTTCCTGCTTCCGGCTCCTCTCAAAGCTAGCCAGCCAGCAGCACCTGGCCGCTCCCCAGCTTGGAGAGACCTGGGGCTTTAGAATGAGAAGTCCCTTCTCCAAGCATCTCCAAAGCACCTTTGAATAAAGCCCGCCCTCCCGCTACTCCCTTGTATAAGGGCGGGCAGTCACCGCTGCCTGGCTTTTGGTATCTTTTTTACTTCAGTGCTACACAGCGTCTCACCTTTCTCTAGCAACCTTCCGCTGCTCTGCGACCAACTCCCCATGTTAAATTCCCTCTGCTGAAAGAACCACTTTCCCGGCTGGACTTGGGGTGCAGTCCCAGGGATGGCAGGGGGTGGGGCAGGGGGAAGCTAGATACTTCTTAGCTTAGATGGAGGGGTTGGTACCGTGTCCACCTCTTTGCGGGGCCAGTAGGAAGTTTATGCTCGTAGGTTTGTGGGAGGAGAAGGAAGAAGAGGCGCAGGTAGACAGACAGAGAGGCACCGGTACGTAGCCACATTACCACTGTCCCTCATCAGGGCAATGCATGGGTTACAACCGATGACTACAGACTGCCCTGGCATCAATACCCAAAGACAAGGATTGCATTCCCCGTGACTTCAAGGGCAGCCAGGGCTACGTATGAGCTTCTGTCTTACAAAAAGAATACCATCAAGGTTACTTCCAAGTTTGGCCATTTATGAATAAAGCTACTATAAACAACCCTGGATGGGACTTGGGGGTGGTGATAAGTTTTCAGTCCCTTTTGGAAAGTGCCAAAGACGGCAACCACTGGCGAGTCGGGTAGGATGTGTTTAGTTGGATAACTGCGGACGGTCTTCCAAAGTGTCTATATGAATGAAGTAGGGAGGGCCCGTTGGCCCACACCCTCGTCAGTGTTTGGTGGCGTCACTGCCGGGACACTGCATTCTGTCTGAATGGAGTAGCTCACTGCCGTCCCGACGTGCAGCCCTCTGATGCGTGGTGCGAAGACATTTCCTTATGCTTATCTGTCATTCGGCATTGTCCCCTCTGCCGAGGTGTCTGTCGAGTCGCGGCTCCAGTTTTAGCTGGATTGTGGGTTTTGGAGTTTTTTTTTTTTTTTTTTTTTTTTTTTTTGACAGGGTCTCCCTCCACTGTGTAGACCAGGCTGGCCTAGAGCTCAGAGAGATCCACCCGCTTCTGCCTCCCTGAGGGCTGAGATTTAAAGTGTCCCCCATCACACACGGCCTGGGCTGTGTTCTGACTGCTGAGTTTGAACAATCCGTTGTGTATTTTATATAGTGGTCCTTTATCAGTGGCGTCTTCTGTAAGTACATCCCCTCGTCTGCTGCCGGCTGTCCGTTCTCTTGATCCATCAGTCTTCCGGTACTCTGGCTCCTTTTCTGCCTTGATCATCACTGCAGCAAAGGGGAGACTCTCGGCTCGGGATCTGCTCCAGGAGACCGACACCCTGAGAGAAGGAAGAACGAAAAAGGAAGTGCTGATCACGGGCTGTGGGGGGAGGCAAAGGCCACCAGAAGCTGGAGCGGGCTTGAGATAGACCGCACCGCAAAAAAAAGCTTTGGACTCCCAAGAGGCAGAAGAAAGGAGATACCAGAGGCTAGGGGACATCTGAAGGGTGGGGAGGAGGGTCTAAGAAGAAATTTGCTTTGAATTTTTGCCCTGGGATTAGAATTTTCCCCTCTGGATATAAGAGATTTATAATGATAATAAGTTTTTTTTTTTTTAAGGCCAAATCTGAGATAATTTCTCCTGTCCATTTTCTGTGGTACACAGTCCGGAAATTCTTCTACACTTATTCTTGTAAA